TTCAAACTGACTTCTTTTCTGCATGTAAATATCTATTGTTTTTGACATACTTTCTTGCTGTTTAGCTTTAAGAAACACAAAATTCAACATATTGAGTTTGTAAGGTAATCAATCGATTCTATCTAAGACACAATTAAATATTTTTCTTAATCTGAGTTGAAATATTATTTTCAGCATCAAGGACTTTGGTTAGAAAGGAAATATCAACTTACAGCAGACCTGCAGTAAATTATTAACTGGTACAACAATGGAAAACTAAAGAACTGCATGCCTCCTATTGTTGCTAATTTGCTCCTGTGAATTATGCTGTTTCTGGTGCTAATATCACTCAGTGGGGAGTGACTGCCTCTCCTTTTCTATTTCCTTTGGTTTATTTTTCTGTATTGCAAATCGGGATAACTGAACAATTGGCACAGCATGTGTGTTCACAGACCAGTAAAAGGATGTCCAGTTTCTCAGAACAAGATATTAACGTTCTGCTGCAAAAGGTCACCACATTTGATCAAAATTATTGTATAGTATAGAATGTCCCTTTAAAGGGTACAAAGGCTCCAAAGTGATCTTTTAGTCTCTGCAGATATCTAAAGGCTAGAGTACAAGGGTTTTGCATTTATTCCAATCAACTAGAGTAATATATAGTTGTAAAACTCTTGGACACCACAATTAAAATATATTTACAAATCAAAAATTGTTTCTTTGTGATCAGTTTTTATTTTAAAATGTCTGTTTGGGGATTCTGAGATCATTTGTATTTAACTCTGTAAATTATTATCACTCACTACTTAAAAAGCAAATATGTAGACTTGGAGATTTACTTTGTTCCGAAATGCAATTCGTCCAAATTTGGGCGATTTTTGTAATTGAGGCATAATGGCAAAGCGTGTATGTTTTTTTTATTTTTGATTCTGAATTCCTACCTTGGAGCCAAAAATGAGATGATGACTGATGGGAAAAAAGGGACAATCACTAAATATAAATAGCATTTACAGATTAAGTAAGAAGTGAGCAATAGAGGGGGAAAAATGAGAAGCAGTATTAAAAAACAAAAACCTACATTTCTATATGATATCTTTATATTTAATAAATATATATATTTTAAATCAACCGGTTACATTTTCTCACTTCATCTGTGAACCAAATGATTGAAAATGTTCAGTGTACTGCAATTTTTTTTATGAATGTTTATTTTGCAACATACTGATTATCCCATTTTCATATCCTGCTCTGTTCTGTTGATTCTGTTTCCGAATCTAAATCTCCATTACAAAATTCTGCCTAACTGTACCAACATTTGTCTGAAATTCTGGTGTCCCTAAAAATGTTGTTTTCAGAAAAAAAATGGTTTAGCCAAACTGAATTTTCTTACTGTGCACCAGTGGCAGCTGGTGAAGTTTTAAGATGGTGGCACACCCAACTCCTCCACTAGAATTTGTATTTGGGCAATAAAGAAATACCCATAACTATCCCACACAACCAGGATTACTATGATGGATTATACAGAGTTGCCATGCAGAGATACCCAGACACTACAACGTTTCGGCCACAACAGGGCCTTTGTCAAGGCTTGACAAAGCCCGTATTGTGGGCCAAAACATTGTTTCTCTTTTTCTCCAAGAAATCTGCCCATTGGATTGAACTTGAGTGCCTGGACTATCATTACTTTTTTGCAAATCACATTGCGAGGATTGGCCAACCTCAGGCCTGGTTGCACCCTGGGATCCAAGAGAGTGCGGTATCCATTTTGGTAATTATATGAATCAGATGAGAAGCATGTATGTCATTAGCAAGAACACAAAATTGATCTTCTGGACCACAAACTTTCCAATTTACCAGATATTGGATGTTTTCCCTTTATATTATACAAAAAATGTTAGACATAGACCTCGGATTTATATTAATCTTGGACATTTACTATTACAGGTTGATATTGAGAAAGCAGAATACTTAAAGTGGTTTTTGGTTCTTGAAAAAAAAAAAAGAAATGTTAATTTGTTTACTTTAGAAAAAAAATAGGATATTAGATGGTATTATAAATAGGTCTAGAACAAACAGATTCCTGGTAACTTGTTTTTTATTAATGGTTTTATTATTTTTTTTCAAGATGGAAACTAGGGAAAAGCATACAGAAAGGAAACAAGAGGGTAGTGATGGTTTTAGAAAAAACATATAGACAGATAAGAAAGCATTAATGTGTTGCAATACAATTACAATATTCATATTATACACATGCAGATCATGTACAATAAATGGTTATGTAAGGAAGAAGACCACCTGTCAGGGTTCGAATGGTGGCTGTGCCCAGAGATTTTTCGAAGCCTAATCTTGAGATGGTGTTTACCCAAGATAGACCTGATGGCCACCTCCCAGAACACACAGGTGGAAGTGTACTTCTCCAGGTACTTCGACCCAAAAGCCCTGGGTCAGGATGCTCTGACTCAGAAATGTCATCAAGCTCCACATTAGGGAGTTAAATTATATAATAGTATCTCATATGCTTACCATAGGGCCAATACTTTGTGTGCCTAATGATTGTGTTTCGCATCTGCAGTGGACCAAATTTCAATGAGTAGAGAAATGCATAAAATATATAAAACTACTCACATTGATGTTACCACTGTGACTATAAAAACATGATTGAAGAGTGCTCATTCATTTAGTACACTTGGGTGGGAATAGATAGAGGAAATGGCTTTTGTGGAGAAAGGGAAGTGATGTGATAAGGAGGGCCTAATCCATTAGACGGTGCATTTGGACACATAACCATTGTGCAGGTGGCCAGGACCACAACAGATGAGAAAGTGCACCCAACAAGCAAAGGAGACATGATTATATGATTTATCTAGAAAATTGTGAGAAGGGTTCCAGCAAAGGATTACTTTCTTAAGATGTTCTTGAAGGCTAGAGTTTTATGTAACACTTTGTAGGGCATTAAATATTACATGCTATTTGTAAACTGACAATGTAGTTTTTAGTTATTTTTCTCAACTCTACATGAACTTGGATTTAGCCTTGTGAATCTCGATAACCTGGAGGTAATAATACCATGTCAGATGACACTGTACAGGTTTATCTCACAAAGGACTTGTATCACATGGCTGTTTTACCGGTCATTAGGATTTAAGCACTTCTTGTGAAAAATACATTTAATAATGAAGGGAAAGTCTTTTGTTCAGTGATCTTCTGGCAACTTTTACTCCATGGTGTATATATGGGAAGTTTTCCTTTAGATTAGAGGAATTGCACTACATCCCACACAGTACCTGGAATGAAAGTGTAGATTGGGTGTAGTTTTGACCCTCATAGTGGCACATTCCAAGATCTGATATGGGGGCAATTAAAGCAATTAATGGAACTTCGGTTGAAAATTAGAAGAAAGCTTGAGAAGTCTTGTGTCGGTGGCAAAAAGTAGAAGTAATTGTTGTTGATCTTGAGAGGATTAGGGTTGATCATTGAGCTAATAAGGCAGCATTGTTATAGTCCTATAAATTGGGTACTCTTATTTTTCTCTATCTAAATAAGAAATGAAATATTTATTCCAGGAAAAATCTCATTGGTCCTCTGTGGGCTGTGAGTTACTATGGGCATGTAAATTGCCAAATTTTGTGTTGTGGAATCATTAAGTGGACTTATTATTGTGCTGTACTTTCAGGGGACACTTATATTTTTGTTTAATTATACAATACCTGTTCCTTCTCATACTTGTGTGTAAGGTTTCTACTATTAACACAAATAGTAGAGACATTAAAGCTCTGTCATTTCGGTTGGAGATGGGGAAGAATTCAGATCGAAACTTGTTGGTGTATTCTAGATGAAGGATTGGGAACATAATATGGAAATAGTCCTTAGATATAATGGAGGGAAACAAGATTTCTGAAATGTTTCTTTCATGTATCATCTAGTGCCATAAAAATGTGCAGACGTTTGTAAAAGATGCAGTAGGTTAATCATAATTTTATTAAAGGACACGGAGGCTCATATTATGCTTATCTCTTTCTTTATTATACCTCAGCAGCAAAGAGAAGGTATAAACATTCATAGAAAAAAAGTTTTAACAGGTTCTCCAAGGGTTACCTAACATCATACTCTTAACCAATAGGAACAGTCCTTCTATCTATAACTACCCATGTGACCTTTCCTCTCCCTCTTTCTTTGCTGCTGCCTCAGCTAAGTACCATCTCATTTTTAGCTCTCCTCAGAGCAATCTATTTAACTGGTTCATTCATATTGTTATATATGTAATGTTTCCTCTGTTATTTGCAGATATTTCATTGCTGTGCTTTGTGTTACTCCCCCTGCTGTACAGACCGGCACCTATCTGCCCCTGGTGCAGATAGCCGGCTTCCCTGGGGTTTCCCCCCCCTCTTCCGGCGGTTAACCCCCCCCCTCCCTCGCCTCCCCGGGTAGTTTATTACCCGTCCCACTTGCCTTCTCGGTGGGTTGCGGCGGCCGTTCACGGCGCGAGCGATCCGAGTCCAGAGACCGCTCGCGCAGGCGCAGTAGCGGCCACGCGGCTCGGCGGCCATTGCCAGCAGCCGCTCTAGCTTTTGCCAGGCTTTTTCCCCTGCCCGCCCCCTGGACCAGAGGGCGGGCATTCACCCATTGGCTGACAGCTTACCAGTGCTCCCTGGCGGCCATTCCGGAGGGAACACTCGGTAAGCTGACAGCCTTTGTGTGTGCCTGAATCCCCCTTTTGTATAATTCACAGTGCTCACTGCCCAGTTACTACTACTGTTCACTCCCTGCATAGGGTTACCAGGGACATATTTTCTGACAACACTGGTTACAGTCTGGGGCAAAAATTCACTGTGTCACTCAGTGTACCCTGCCATATTAGTTTCCAAGTTCCACGTCCCAGGTGTTTTTTTGTGTCTAACCTGCCTATAATGCAGCACCTCAGGGACCAAGGGGTTTCCACACCCACTGATGCCAGTAAGAGCACCATTCCCCATGTGCCCCAGGTAACACGTCCATGCTCACCACTGGGAGAGGACGTGGCATCCATGGATCAGTTGAACTCGGAGGAGTTTGACTCGCTTCTGGATGCAACCATGACCAAATCGGTCACCCAAGCTATAGTCACGGCTATGGGGGCGATGTCTGAAACCCTGACACAGTCCATTAGTAACGCCATACTGGCGTCTAACACAAACCCTAGCGGCCTCCGCCCCAAAGCCCAAACTGACAAGCCTGCGCCCCTCAGCGGCCGTAAGGCTACGGAGAAGACCCACCATAAGGGCAAACACACCTCCAAAAACAGCACGAAGGACAGGACACGCCCTGTCACTTCTGAGGACGTGGGGCCCCCACGCAAAAGAGCCACCCACCGGGCAAAAGCGGTGAGGATGTGGAAATGGGCAAAAGCCCAAACAGAGACATCCGACTCTGGTTCGGACATAGAGGAGGTAATGAGTGAGTCCGAGGATATCGGCTCTTTGGAATCGGGAGACTCTTCCCCTGAGCGCAGTCGAGCAGTCACACCAATTACGGGTAAAGTGCTCATGGATGACTCCATCATCCTAGACCCCCAGGGCGAGCCTCTATTTAACCCAGACGACCTACAACACCCTAGGTCTACAGACTGGTTCCCAGCCGACCATGTGGCCCAGTATATAGTGGCCAGGATCAGGAAGCCCCTGGATAAAACGACCAGGAATAAGTTAAGGGCAGAGTGCCCACGCCCAACGGTCCCCGATATGGCTTGCGCCACGCCAGAGGTGGACCCCAAGATTGCCCAGTTCCTGGGTAAGGCTGGCTGGAAAGCCAAAAAAGGGCTAGACTACTCCCTTCGCCACTGCCAGGATAAGGTGCTGGACTCCTTGGGTCCCAGCGCAAAAATCTTCGACTTGGTCGAGGCGACAATCTCAGGCGGCGCACCGCTGGATCCTTTAGTGATCCGGGAGTGGGCGCAACGCTCTATCTGCCTCATCGGCAACTCCAATGTCGCACTTAGTACTGAGAGGCGGAAGGCAATTCTCATGAAGATAGACCCTAAACTGGTCATGTATAGAAAAAAAGGGGATGATCTGCTAAACAAATAACAAGAACAGTGCATAGCGCATAACTGTGTGTATGAATAAACCAAATGTGTAGTTTTCAAATGGCCACTCACACTTTCGTTGAAATATAAATGCCTTGGAACTGAATTGCTCTTTTCAGCAAAATTGCTCTTTTCAGCATAAATGCCCTTCCAGGAATGATTCTTCCACCACTTTTAAACTCTCATGGAATAGTTAAAAGGTGTGTGCTCAAAGAAAAAAACAGAACTTGTAGTACATATTTAAAAATGTAGAAAAAATAATTTAATTACTTACATCTAAATATAAAACAATGGATGTATTCTCACTGTCACCACCAGGGGTCCTACGCGTTTCGTCCGTATGTAGGACTTCCTCAGGGACTTCAGTGACCAGAAATGACAGCATACAAATGAATACAAATTTGTATGCTGTCATTTCTGGTCACTGAAGTCCCTGAGGAAGTCCTACATACGGACGAAACGCGTAGGACCCCTGGTGGTGACAGTGAGAATACATCCATTGTTTTATATTTAGATGTAAGTGATTAAATTATTTTTTCTACATTTTTAAATATGTACTACAAGTTCTGTTTTTTTTCTTTGAGCACACACCTTTTAACTATTCCATGAGAGTTTAAAAGTGGTGGAAGAATCATTCCTGGAAGGGCATTTATGCTGAAAAGAGCAATTTTGCTGAAAAGAGCAATTCAGTTCCAAGGCATTTATATTTCAACGAAAGTGTGAGTGGCCATTTGAAAACTACACATTTGGTTTATTCATACACACAGTTATGCGCTATGCACTGTTCTTGTTATTTGTTTAGCAGATCATCCCCTTTTTTTCTATACATGTTCTGTTGAAGACAGGAGGAAGTCTTCGGGAAATCCTACCTGATTCAGGGAGGTCTTTTTCTGCTATTTATCTGTTGAGCACTTATTGCACTGTGGTTTGTGCACACATATCGCTTTTTTGTATCTTTGTATATTTCCTAAACTGGTCAACATGGCCATAACCGAGCCTGGACCCCAGGCAAAAGGCCTCCTCTTCGGAGACAATTTTGTAAAAGAACTGGGCAACTACGTGAGCACATTTACGGCCCTGGATAAGGCACAGACAAACCTGAAACGGGCGTTCTCCCCGAAGGTTTTTGGAGGGGCTGGCAGGTACAGGGGCCGTCTGTCCAGCCGCCCATCACGGAGCTCCCACCGGGGCTACCGAGGCCTCACGACACCACGGTTCCCTCAGACGGAGACCAGAACCCCCACACCTTTCTTCCCGGTCAGGGGCAGATCGTGGCAGCCCAGAGGTCACAGAGGTTCCACATACGGCCGACAACCTTATGGTAAGTGCTTTCCCCTTCTCCCTCTCTCGGACCTCACACGTGGGGGGCAGACTTTGCAAATTTATCAGGGCATGGCACAGACTCACGTCCGATGCCTGGATCCTCAACACAGTAGCAGGGTACCATATAGAATTCGTCAAAGACCCAACCTAATCCGCAATGCCACGGCGGATGGTGTTCTCCCCTCAGGACAGAGAACTTGTGTCGAAGGAAATCAGGGCACTGGCGGAGAAGGGAGTGATCTATCAGGTCGCACCTCACGTCCCAGGCTTCATGAGCAATCTGTTCCTGGTCCCCAAGAAAGGCGGTGGGGTAAGACCAGTGATCAACCTACGCCCACTCAACGCGTTTGTAAGATATCATCACTTCAAAATGGAAGGGATTCATTGCCTACGAGATCTTCTCAGTCTAGGGGATTGGATGGTCAAACTAGACCTCCAAGATGCATATCTCACCATACCCAAAGGAGTGTCAGCATCTCCTGCAATTCAGTTGGGACTCTCGGACATGGAGGTTCCAGTGCCTACCATTTGGCCTCTCATCAGCACCATGGCGCTTTACAAAACTGCTGAAACCAGTGGTTGCGCTGCTACGCAGCAGAGGGGTTCGCATGATCATATATCTGGACGATACGCTGATCATGGCCCAAGACACCCTACTACTACGACAACATTTAGATTGGGCAATAACACTACTACAAAACCTGGGATTTCTAATCAATTGGGAGAAATCGGTACTAATCCCCTCCCAGTCATTGGAATTCCTAGGATTCGAGATAGGGGCGGTCTTAGGGACCCTAAGCTTGCCACCCACAAAGCTGAAAACCATCAAGAAGGAGATCCGCAGAGCATTGGCTCGCCCGACACTCACAGTCAGACAACTAGCCAGAATAATTGGACTCCTTTCCGCTTCCATACAAGCGATCTTCCCGGGACCCTTGCACTACAGGGCCCTGCAGAGACTAAAAGCCACACAGCTACGCTCAGGACACTCCTACTCAGACTCTGTACCACTCGATCACACAGCCAAGGAGGAGCTCAGGTGGTGGCTACACCACATGGAAGCGTGGAACGGCAGAGCAATCTTCGGCAACATCCCAGATTGCGTAATAGAATCAGATGCCAGCACACGGGGCTGGGGAGCGCGCTGTGGACGTACCTCCACAGGCGGAAAATGGTCCCAATCGGAGAGGACGCTACATATCAACTGCCTGGAATTAATGGCAGGGTCATTCGCGCTGAAGAGCCTCCTGGGCCCCGTGACGCATTGCTCCATCATCCTGAGGATGGACAACGTATCAGCCGTACAGTACATCAACCGCCTCGGCGGCACCAGGTCCAATATTTTAGCAGACTTAGCCACAGAATTTTGGCGGTTTTGCTTGGAACGCAGCATAACAGTATGAGCCGAATACATCCAGGGACTTTCGAATACCGTAGCAGATTGGAACTCCAGACACCTACGGGATACCAGCGATTGGCGCCTGAACCGAGAGACGTTCCTACGATTGCAAACGCTATGGGGTCCGATGTATATAGACCTGTTTGCGTCTCGGTTGAATACACAACTCACAGAATTCTTCAGCTGGAGACCGGACCCAGACGCGTTAGCTACAGACGCATTTCTTCAACCATGGCCGAACAAACGACTATACGCGTTCCCTCCGTTCGCCCTGCTGACACGAACCCTAGTGCACCTCGACCGAGCGCAGACATCCCTGGTCCTCGTAACTCCATTCTGGACTGCACAGCCTTGGTTCCCTTTACTCATGGAGATGTCCATAGACCTCCCCAGACTGCTGCTCGAGCATCCACGCCTCCTTTCAGACCCAGATCGAAACCCACACTCTCTGATGGTGCAGGGACAACTCAGGTTGTTAGCGTGGCTCCTTTCCGGGGACCCTGGGTCGTGCCAAATGTTCCGCAAACAACTCTTGACCTTCTGGCGGGAGCCTGGGCTCCTGGAACGCGACAATCCTACTCTAACGCTTGGAACATCTGGAGTGGTTGGTGCATGGAACAACACGTGGATCCCGTATGTGCTCCTGTAAATCACCTGTTGCGTTTTATTACACACCTATACGACCAAGGACTTGCGTACCGAACCATCAATGTATACAGGTCAGCGATATCCCCTGGGCACAGGGGTATTGAAGGACACCCAGCGGGTAAACATCTGTTGGTATGCAGGCTCCTACGCGGAATTCGATTGGCAAGACCACCACGACCCAGGTATAGTACAGTATGGGACGTGAATTTGGTCTTAAATCTTTTGGAACAATGGCCACAGAATTCTGACCTCACACTGAAACAACTATCAGCGAAACTGGCCATGCTCTTATGCCTAATATCCTGTAAAAGAGTCTCGGATGTCCGGGCATTGGACGTCGACGCAGGTACATTCACTCCAACGGGAGTAACTTTCAACATTTCCAGACGTACTAAATCAGCAACAGCATCAGTGTCATATCCAGCATTCCCGCACAACAAAAACCTGTGCCCAATAGACTGCCTCAAGGAGTACGAAATACGGACACAGGCATTTCGAAACTCTGGACAGCATGAACTATTTCTCGCCGTCAATTCACCACACCAACCAGTATCTTCAATAACAATAGCCCGATGGGTGAAGTGGATAATGACCTCTGCAAACATAGATACCTCAGTATACGGGGCGCACTCCACTAGAGGAGCTATGGCATCTAAACTATTCAACTTGGGATGCAGGCTGGAAGATTTGTTACGGACGGCAGATTGGTCTCACGAATCCACCTTTAAGGAATATTATTTTCACCCTACAGACCACATATCATCAACAGTCATTGCACAGCTTTAAACTAGCATAATATGAGCCTCCGTGTCCTTTAATAAAATTACCAGATTTTACTAATTACATGACGTAAAGTCATGATTTTATAAAGGACACGGAGGCGAATATTGGCCCACCCGGTAAGTATATCAGGCCTATATCGGCGAAGAAGAGTTAAACTCCCACCCAATAAACAATCGAATAAGGGTCGTTGTGGTGTCTTCTTTTGTATCAAATTAAGTTGATTATTTAGGACGATAATTTTCTTTTCGATACTAGTGAGTCTGTAATACCTAATGCATATATTAAGATTAGTCACTACCATTGTGGCAAACAGTTCCTCAGACCATATGTTACCACTTTTTTTCTCTGTCCCATTACAGCTTAAGTCACAATCAGCGACACCATGGATGACCAGTTGTCACCACAGTTCACGCAGACAAGTTCCTACAAGTTCGGGATATGGGAAAGTTCGACGCAACGGATAAAGCGTTCCAGTGTTTTCTCAAGTTATAAAGATACAGCTTAGGCATGACCAAAGAAAGAGGGAGAGGAAAGGTCACATGGGTAGTTATAGATAGAAGGACTGTTCCTATTGGTTAAGAGTATGATGTTAGGTTAACCCTTGGAGAACCTGTTAAAACTTTTTTTCTATGAATGTTTATACCTTCTCTTTGCTGCTGAGGTATAATAAAGAAAGAGATAAGCATAATATGAGCCTCCGTGTCCTTTATAAAATCATGACTTTACGTCATGTAATTAGTAAAATCTGGTAATTAATCAGCTTGTCTGAAGAATGACAGCCTTTGATAAGACCACCTGACTGAATAAAAATAGTAATGGCAGTAGTGCATTCAATTCAGAAGGTATATGGGATAAATGTTAGAACAGTTCAAAGAATCTAGAGTCAAAGAAAAGTGATCTCACCTATGACAGAGAAATTGCTTTATTTCAATAAAAAAAAAAAAAGGAAATATTCAGCCTTAAAGCAACACTACAAGAGTCATAACAATTACAGCACACTGTAGTGGTTTTGGTGTCATGATTGGGGATTATTCTAGTTTTAGTGAATTAATAATCTAAATTGTATTAAAGACAGGAGGCAAATATTTGCTTTACCCTCCATAATAAAACCTCCAGCAGCAAAGAAATAGTTCGAAATTCGAAAAGGAACAGCCAGTCAACACAAAGACAGGTATAAAATATTCTCATTAATCCCCCTCGTCCCCCCAAGTGTTACATGTAGATTGTAATCTTATTAATGTTTTTTTAACATATCCCTGTATAATTGTTTTATATAATTTTATTCTGTTATTTATATTCCTTTGTATTACCCATACTACCCAATATATTCCTCTCTTTTTTATTATTATGTTCATAGATTGCTATAGATATACTTATGTACTTTAATTGTATTTTATATTTCCTGTTGGGTTTTACATACATTTTTCACATTATTTATATTTCATACTTTTTTTATAATTAATATTTTTACCCACTTTTACACACCCCATTTCCCTTTTTCTCCCCTTCATTCTGTATTATCTCTAATATATATATATATATATATATATATATATATACACACACACACACACACACACACACATCTACATCTCCCAAGATCCTCTCCCCATTTCTCCTATTCTTACTCCCTTATTCTACTACATTTCCCATATTCCTATCATCTCCCTAAGATACTCTTATTTTTTTCTATTTACTATATTTCCCATCATCCCTTTCCTTATCTGGGCCCATCCTCCATCTTGGAAAAGCACAGTTTTTTTATTTTTCACTTTTCTATGTATTTATTCTCCCTCTCCTTTATTTATTTATTTTATACTACTCTGTCTTCCTCACCTCCCCCTGCCATCTCTGTTCCTCTTTTTTTAGGTTTGCATCTCTCTGCAGCCCGTAGGGATTGAGGGCCCTGCTCAATGAGCTTACATGCTAGAAGGAGTGGGGTATAGTGGCGCAAAAGGTAAAGGTCTGGAAGAAAAGTAGGTTGCCAAGATAGTATTCATTGAGGGCTAATTGTTGTTTTGATGACAGTTGCAGGAGAGGAATCAGCGTGCAAGAGGGAAAGCTGTTTACAGTTTAATTGATATGCTTCCCTAAAGAAGTACGTTTTCAAAGATTTTTTGAAGCAGTGGAAATTTGGTGAAAGTTTAACAGCCCTAGAGAAGTCTCTAAGGCGAGCATCAGGGGTAGGAGTACAAACAGAGGTAATAATGCTCATTTTAACTTCTAAACACCTCCCCCTGCTGCCCCACACCTCACACTACCTACAACATTATTTTAGCCAGGTTTAATATGGCTTTTATAGCAAACTATTCAGGCTTTGC